AAAAAGGATTCATGGAGATATCAACTGCGCCTAAGTCGCAAATTTAACTAGTAAGTGCTAATCCCCTTGCACCTTCAAGTCAATTTTATTCTCCATACACTTTAATGACATATCAGTTAAGATACAGATAATATCCGAATACGCCCACATAGCGTACTTTAGGCTCCCACAACAAAGAAAAGATCAAGGAATATAGGTCATCTGTTTCTCCCAAAGACAATCTGAGGATTCACTCAATAGCTAAGGCTCTGACTTTTACCGATAGGTAAGTCAATGGGTTTGCAATTTTGCATCTAGAATCGTTCTAGGATATTCCTTATGTAAGTCATCAAAAACAAACCAGGAATTCTCCCAAAATAATCCCTTAGGATCGTACATCCGAGCATATAACTTACATCACCCATGTCCATCATATCTAAAATGGAGGACTGCCCACCCTAGGTGGCGACAACCTTATAAATTCCTGGTTCATAATGACTAAGTAAGGAAAAACTTCTTTTGGACCATTGATCATGCCTCAGTGGTCTTCATCGATCATCGTTGCCCTATCATGGCTTTACGAAATCTAAGAACCACTGTTTGGATAACTGCTTTAGGTTGTAAAAGATTTATTGGAACTAGCAACCTTTTTGCGTTCCTAACTTTTCACCATAAAAGCAGAAGGTAAATCCCTACGGATCTACTTATCTAATTCTCTAATGAGAAATCGGGTCACAATGTCCACAAATCAATGTTCCAAACTTACGTCAATCATAGCCTAAGTCGAAATAACCTCACTCTCCACGAGGAAGTCTTCTCACGGTCTACACTTTTCTCAATGGTGCGACTTTTCGGTATCTAGCGAGTCTTATGCCTCAACAATGACTATCCAAATTACGCATAAATTTAGAACAGTTTTGCGTCATAATGGAAAGTCAACCAAATTATAGAAATGGTTAATCCTCAAAGACTTTGTCTTAAACTGCGCAACATTGATCCACTTTTTAAAAACAGGGGACTAGAGCCTTTGGCATTATCCTAGGCTCTTTATCATCTTGCGGAGCAATCATGAATGTTTCCCTCACAATCACCCAGTGATGACGTGGAAAATTTTCACATTTGCTACCATGCAACTAAGAATGTAGAGTATTCTTCTCTAATGGAGTAATCCATTAGTAGGCACATCGCCCCCACTGTCCCTAGGATATTGGAAATTTCTTTCCATTCTCAACTAGGCTACATAGAGCGCTATGCTTAGAATTCTCTATCTTATAGAGTTCCAAAAACTCTATTCACATCACCTTTACTAATAAAACTTTATGTGGCTTAGTTACACTACCACAAAGCTGCTTACCTATATGCACATGACCCGGAGGGTTTGCATGACCGCATACAATAATGCGCCACACGACCCTTTATGTTTACAAGACAGCATACAATAATGCGCTATAAAACCCTAGGTCTTAACTTCACAATCTTATGAGAAGTAAAATAAAAATAAGCTGCTTAACGGTTACAGATTGCCCATAGATGGCTCTCCACTAACCTATTACTCAAAATTGGAGTGTAAAATCTGATATGGAGGGCTCTTAGTTAGGGATATAGGCAACAAACTAGTGCAATTTCCAATTGGGAAACATCTTGCGCCATTATCCACCTAACATTAACAATATTTAATTAATTATCTCTACTACACCATTGTGTTGTTGAGTACTAGGAATAATCAATTTTCTAAGCATCCATCTCTCTTTACAGAGTTTTCTAAAAAGAACTCAAATAGATACTCGCCACCTTGGTCAAAACTAAAAGCATGAAAACTGTTATCTAATTGATCGCAACCTCATATGTGCAATGTCAAAAATCATCTCAAAACTTTTGACTTATGGGAGATCAAATAGTCTTGACTCAGATGCGTATCGTAATCTATAAATGTGTCGAGATTGAGGCTTAGCTATCATACCCTCACACATATCTAGTCACAAAATATCATAGTGGACTAAATGCGCCAAAACAAATGACCTTCTGCGGCTTTCCTACTTACTTGTGCGCACCCATTGCGAACAAAGTTACACATGCACATGAGAGCAGGATGTCATAAGCGAGTGGGCCCGAGAAAGGCCTACTCAAACCATCGTGTCATCATCTCATTAATGTGATAAAGTATAATAAGCCACTGGTTCATGACCAATGTCATAAACTAATTCCAATCAACTTAATGTGTGAGTTCTCGAAGAAAAGTTTTAAAGGTTTAGGCCCAACACTAGCACAGATGTGCCCAACTAGCGCATTGAATCTTACAATGAGCAAATTAATATACTACTAGTAAAGCATTTTATCCACAGTCTAATGAGCAAGGTCAATGTCTAAACAATTCAGTTGACCATTTACCAAAGATAACACTTATCATGCCAAATACGCCCACATAGCG